TTCCCGCCGATGGTGTTGATGGCCGTGGTGCTGCCCGTAGAGGGCGCCATGGGGGTGCCATCAGCCTCGCCGTTGCCAAGGGGCATCTGGTAGAGCTGAGCCTGCGAGGCGCCGCCCGACAGGGGGATCTCCGAGGGCATCTCTTGCTTGATGAAGATGTTGTTCACCGCCACCGACTGCGGCATGCTGAAGACACTGGTGAAATCCGGCAGCGTCTGCGTCGCGCCCGCCGCGGACGAGCAGGGCTCGGCCAAGCTGGTGCCGGGCTCTGTTTTGATCTGTGGGAAGGGGGCAAGGGGCTTGGCCGGCCGGTAGAGCCCGGTGCGCAGGTGCGTGGTGTCTGGCAGGATCAGATTGATGTTCACGCTGTAGGGCGTGGAGGGCGGCTTCTCTGTCGAGAAGAACTCATCCACCACGGAGGCACTCTCCCTGCGGTACTTCTTGTCCGGTATCATTGGAATTGGCAGCATCTGGCCAGAGAGGTACTTGTCCATTTCAGAACGTGCCTACGGGGAAGAACAAAGGAAGAATTCTTGAGTGACAAGTTCAGATGCTAAAGTGATGGGCACCCTACAAACAGCTCTGAGATGTGGGCGCCTACCGGGCAGGAAAAGACCATGGATTGGGAGGCAGGAGCACAGCTCGGCCACGGATACCCTATGCACCCTGTGTGACCTTAGGCAAATCAGCAAATCACTTGGGGCCTCAGTTTCCACATCTGTGAAATGGGCATAATCCTTCCCTGCCTGCTGTGAGGATCAAATCTATTCACGGCTATGAGGAGCCCAGAGACCAGAGCAATGAGAGATGCACATGTAGTGGGGCAGAGAGCCCAGGGGCAGCGAAAGGCATGCAGTCAAATACAGAAGGGCCAGGATTTTGATGTTTCTAGATAAATAATAAGAGGGGGAGAACTTAAAACTAAAGCTGAGGTGCCTAAGCCAGAGCCCCAGACCCACATGCCCTAAGACCTCGGCGGAATTAGGCTCCAGGTCTGGATCTGACTTTGAGTTGGGACCCAACTCTCATGTAAATGGTGTGAAGCCCAATGAGAACTCAACCTGTTCCTGGTTCCGTTGCCAAGCATTAGAAATAAGGGGATAACGTTGGAGTTTAACTGTCGCCCGCGGCCCTGGGAACATGTCGGCCTCGTACCAACACACGAGATCCCAATCTGAGACTAGCTAGAACCAAAAGGGAAACCGGTCGATTTTCACTTTGCTCAGGAAACTTCCCCATCTCTAACACAGCACAGCAGCCGTGTGGGCCTGTGACTCTGGATGGATGTTTTTGCAAGTGCTATAGTCCAGAATAACTGAAGTTCCAGTTGTGAATATCCTCAAACTCCAGATTCCTTCGGGATTCCGAAGCATCTTCTGGGGGTGTTCCCAATGATTCAACAGTCCATGGGCAGCACGGGGCGAGGAAACCCTTGCCCTGGCATCTCCTGGCTCAAGCTCTGCTCTTTGTGGGTAGTGAAGCCACCACTAATACTGTAACCTTTAATTATGTGGTTACCCATGTGTCAGTCTCATTATACGGACCTCATAGACACGTTCATGTGACACAGAGCCGGCAAACCGGTCCAGGCCCTGCAGCTACGGGCAGGCAGAGCCTACCGTAAGAAGCCAGGCTAATCTCATTACCACCTGCTGTGCGCTCGGCCGGAAGGCTTTGCCCCACCGAACGGCGTCGCTCTGCGCCCAAGTCCGCCCTGGGGCGACCTGTCTGCCGTCACCAAAGACCGATTTGGCTGCCGGCGTTTGATCCGCCCCACACGTTATGGGGCACAAGCTACGCCTAGACCGCTAGCAAAGATGTGCCCCCTTGAGAGCCGCCCTGGCAATGCGCCAGGAAGCGAGGACCACGCCTAAGCGTGCATCGAACAGAGCCACCGCCTCGCTCTTTAAAAGGGAGGCAGCCCCTTGACACTACATGGCCCAGCATGCAATGCTCCTTCGTGATCACAGCAATTGGGCAGGGACCTTGAGGGCTCCCAACTGGCTGCTGCTGCCCGAGGACCGTCGGGGGGCTCAGTCGAGGTGTTAGCAGCAAATCAATCTGTCAAGCCAGCGGTGCTGGAAAGCTCCCAGCTGGTCACTAGCGGGGTGTGGGGGGGGGAGTTAGTTACCCCAACAAGAGCAGCTCGTGTTCAATGCCTGATCTATCCTCCAGGTGCTGTGGGCTCCCGCTCCTGTCATCTGGGACCGACGCTACGCCCCACAAGGCTCTGGGGTGTGGCGGATCTAGACCTAGAATCGGATCCAACTCGGAACAGTCCCGATGTTTCAGAGTTGCAGGCACTCCCAGATCCGGGCAGGGCCCATTCTACCGACATGCCCCAGCTGCAGTTCGGATCCCAAGTCCAATTTCCACGCTGTCCGGCTCCGTGGTTCCCACTTGGGCTCGTCTCTGGGCGAGGATCGCGGGGCGCCCTTGGAGTTTCCCCTGATTTTCTCCGCACGGCAGGCCGCCCCCGCCGGCCTTTTTTTGCTCCTGATTTCCCCGCCAGGGCAGGCCGCCCCCGCCGGTTATTTTTAGAGTCAGGAATCAGATCACTGCTAGGCAGTACCAGGGGCTCTCCCTCCGGCTCCGAATGCCGCACATACCTGAGCAATGAAGTGACCCACTCGCCACGGAGACGGAGGAGGGAAGTGAGGGCGTCAGACGGATTTTACTTCTAAGGTTCCCTTATCTCTGGTATTTTGATTTCCTGCCTTCACTTCACCAGAGAGTTTTTCTAGGGGAGTGCCATAGGGATGCCCCAGCTCATCCAAGGTATTTAGGCGCCTAGCCCGAACTGAGATCCATAGGAGTTAGGCACTGAAATAGCTGCGAGGAGCTGGTGCACTGGGGCGTTGTGCAGAGCTCCCATGGTGTTCTAGTTAATCCTGTGCATTGTCACACGGGGACTCCCGGACCCCCAGCTCGCCTCTGCAGCCTTCGCCGGTTCACAATTCATAACGCCCGGCTGCGCCTACCGCCCCTAGAGAAGACACAAACGGAATTTACCTCCCCCCACTACTGAAATGCAGCCACCTCTGGGGTGGGACAGGGAGCGCGGAGGACTGTACCCTGGCTCAGTCGGAGCAGCGTTTAGAGATCGGCAGAAGGGGAGGACCTGAGCTGAGACAGGGGCCGGCTGCCGGGGCTGGCCACGCTCCATCCCATTAGGTATCACCTGGAAGAGAACCCCCGGCCCTGGCCTCGCACTTGGACATTGCCTCTAGCCTGGCTCCAGGGGAGAGGGTCTTTCCTGTTGTACAGCGTGTGGGGCCGGGCATGTTGCCAGCACGTCACAAGAGACACTCCCTGCTCCAGAGAGCTTACGATCTAGCAAACCCCGAGGGAATGAGGTGGAGCCCATTTTACAGCTGGAAGACAGAGGTGCCGAGAGTTGCCTGCGGTCATACTGGGAGTGGGGTAGAGACGGGCAGGGAGCCTGGTCTCCTTGCAGCTGGCAGTACAGTTCCTCTCTAACACATGCTGCGCATTTTCCTGAGGCATCGAGGGTGGTGGGGAGAGGGCCGAGGGGCGGAGAATCCTGCAGGCTCTCTTTCCAGTGCCTTAATGGGGGGTCGTAGAGCTCCCCGGGAGGGATCTGCTCAGGAGGAGCCAGCTGTGTTTCAGGAGGCGCCCCCCCCCACCACGCTGGCTTGGCGAGGGGCAGAAATACGCATGCAGAGAGAATAAAAACCGTCACCTCCATCGTGAGTGGCATGCGCTGCTCCATCCTCAGGGGGGTGAGCTGTGGAATAAACACAGCCCGTTACTGGGCAGGCATGATGCAGTGCGCAGGAAACACGAGAACGTGGCCCCCGACAGGCCCCGCGGACGTGCGCGTCCCCACTAATGCCAAACCCTGGGCGCTCCGGGGGTGAGTGACTCGGAGGCCGCCGGGGCTGTTGGAAGCCCCCCTGTGCGCGAGGGGCCTGCGGAGCTAGGTGGGGACAGGGACCGGGCGGGGCTTTCGGCACGCTGGCTGCCATTCGGCACGTGCCCCGGGGCTGCGCTCCATGTCTGACTCGCCTGGTGTCGTTGGCACCGTCAGAAGCCCGAAACACACGCATAAGAGCCGCCGCCTCTGCTTAATACCCCCCGGATGCTCACTGTCCACAGGGTCCCCCCCAGCCTGGCAGCCAAGCCCCCCAGCTGCTTTCAGCCCCCAGCGATGGGGGTCCACTTCCCACTGTTGCTGAGTGACCATTGCTAGGCAACACAGGGCCAGCCACTCTTTCTGCCTGCATCCCTGAGAGGGCAGCCGTAGCCACAGCGCCCCCAGCAGCACAGACAGTGCAACTGCAAGTTTGACAGGGCGGGTCAGGCATCTTACCCCCACCAAGGGCCAGCCAAGCCCAACAGAACCACGAGGGTGGGGGACATGTGTCTCATTCTGTCGCGTCATTACCTTCACTGTGCAGTGGAAGAAACCTTGGCATGGAGAAGCCAAGCAAGGGGTGGAGTGGGGAATGGGGCCCACAGTTGCTTGTATCCCATCCCTGGCTCATTCCACTAGGCTCCCCTGCCCTATGACTCAACTAACAGCTGCCAAATACGCAGATGCAACCTCACTTCCCACCCCAGCAGGGATAAACTTGCTTCCCCTGCCAATACAGTACCACGCATGGAGGTGTCTCATTCAAACTGCAGCGGTGACAATCCATTCAAACCTCCCTGCAGCAAGGGATCGCTGAAAAGTGCCCTGAGCCAGGGTTAATACAGTCTTTACTAAGCACTGTTTGTATTATTGCCGGGGCCAGGAGGGGTGTTCATGGACCGGACTCCGTTTTGCTATCCCTCGTCTTCTCTCTACAATCCACATTGGGGGTCGAGAGAGACACTGCAGAGGTCCTAGGATTCCCAGAGCTTCAGACACCGATTTTCACACGTGCACCTTTCACAAGATGAGACCAGGGAAAACGTGAAAGCTGATCGGTTCCCACACAAACACATCACATACACTTTGTGCACACTCACAATTTCTCTCTCCTCCTACCCCCACACACTTCAAGGTTCTACAGTGACGTCTGTTACATTTACGATCGTGCTTGCATCACGATGCAAGAGAGCAAAAGACACGTGCGGTTTCTTTGGCAGGAAGTTTTTCCGCTGCTTCTTTATCAGCATTGGATATTGCCTCAAGGAAACGCTCACTTCCAAAAATGACCCTAATTAATTAGAGGGGAAAGTGTCTCCTGCAATGTGCATGAGCTATTCTTTGAGGACTGTCGCTTTGAAACGTCACTCTAAACTGCAAATCAGTTTACATTTGGTTTCCCGAATGCTTCTCGCAGAGCTGCAAATCTTTGCCAATCTCCACGCACACAACATGGAAATTGTTCTAGAGAAGAACAATTTTCATTTTTTTTTTTACACAAAGGAATTATGAATTTGAGGGGGCTATTTCAGCAAGAAAATCCTACCTCGTGATAAAATCACAGCTGTCCCTACATGTATTCCTGTGGCCAAATTACCTAAGGAAATGGTTGACTTTCCGCAAGATCGAGTGAAAAATTCAACATAAAACAATAAGGTCGGGGAGCATTTTTCCCAGTTTTTTCTTCACCCAGCACATAATCAACCTGTGGAACTCCTTGCCAGAGGATGTGATGAAGATTAGAACTTTAACAGGGTTCAAGAGCTAGATAGATTGGTGGAGGTTAGGTCCATCGATGGCTATTCGCCAGGATGGGTAGGAATGGTGTCCCTAGCCTCTGTTTGTCTGGAGGTGGGTGACAGGGGAGGGATCACATGGGTCGCTTGGTACTGGTTGCTGTCAGCAGACAGGACACTGGGCCAGATGGACCCTTGCTCTGACCCAGTCTGGCCCCTCTGATGTTCTAATGCGACTGGTCAGGACTCCCCTAGATCCGTGCTCCTCTTCCCTGCTGCGGACTCCTTTTCGTACCAGGAACACCCTCGAATCCCCTTCCCGTGCACCCAGGCTCACTGGGACCCTCCCCCCCTTTAGTAACACTGGGAATGCAGTGATCGTGGTTCCCAAACCCCTGCCCCTTTCCCACAGACTCCGTGCTGAGCGTGCCCCGCCCCCCATGGGGGCAGGTTTGGTGATGAGGGGAAGGAAGGCAAGAAACCATCCCCGCTGCTGGGTCCGTGAGGGACGCCGCTTGCAGCTTCCATGAAAGACAAAGGGAAGACGTGGCATGAGCCTTTCCGAGCGCAACTGCCCGTCTGAACCCGTCACCCGGTGGCTCGTGGCAGCGGCACAACTGAGCACTCTGAAAGCCTCGTCCATTCATCGCCTTCTGCGTGGGGCGTGCTGCCTAGGTGGGAGACGTGCCGTGGGGCCCGATCCCTCAGGGATCCAGACCTCTGCACTCCTAGGATCGAGGGCTCCGTGATGGGTTCCATCTGCTCCTCGTGCACCAAGCCAGCTCCGGAACCGGCTCCGTGCTTCTTGCACCAAGCCAGCTCCGGCACCGGCTCCATGCTGCGATGCTGGGTCTGACGTGGAGCCGTTGATGTCCTCGGTCTTCTCCTGGGGGGACCGGCGGCCTCTTCTGAGCCAGACCCATCGGAAGGGGGCGGCTTGTTTCTCACCATAGGACTCTTCCTCCCTTCCTTCTTTTCTAACAGGAGCCCCTCCCGCCCCAGAAACACCGAACACTTCCAGGATCTCCTCCAGGGAAGCCCTGTTCCGCTCAGTTCCACAGGAGCCAAGGCCCGCGGGATGTGTGCACCGGGTTGGTGGTCTCAGCAGCCTGGCTGCAGTAGCAGGCTGCCCAGAAAGGCGTCTTCTGGCCGGTGACTTAACTGTCCTTGCTCTCTAGGGCTTGAGCTAGCGCGCTAACAAAGCCAGGTGGCCGTTACACGTGCGTGCAGGTGACTACGCCAGAGACGCCACATCCACGCTGCTCTTGTCCGCACTGACTCCAGCGGCGGGGAAGCCCCGTCCTCCGCGGGGAGCCGCAAGCGTGCGAGCGTCAGTAAGCTAGCGAGCAGAAGAGAGCGGGGTCGCCACGGCGGCGTGGGAGGACAGATGGGCTGGAATGCCACTCCGTACCTAGGGCTCAGGGCGGCCACCCCAGCTGGCACATACCTCTCCGGCTCACCTGCGGGCATCCCCACAGACCTGGCATGGGGAGGTATCACAAAAGCCCCCTGAGGGCGGAATGTGCCTAGAAAGAACCTTCCGAGCGCCGGGGATCAAAGGGGACTGGGCATTTTCCAAGCCTTCCCTACAACTTGCCATGTCACAGGGAAGAATCCAAGCGTGGGAGCAGCTGGCTTACTCAGAATGCTGCCCCTTGAACATCAGAGCGGCCAGACTGGGTCGGGCCAAACAACCTGTCTGCCCACAGTGGCCAAAGCCAGGTGCCCCAGAGGGAATGAACACACCAGGGACTCATGGAGCGATCCCTCCCGTCGCTCATTCCCAGCTTCTGACACTGAGGGCACCCCAGCCCAATGCAGAAAGCCAATCTTGCGGAAAGTCAACCATTTCTTCAGCTAATTCCAAAGGCTGTTCTTAGCCAGGGCTGAAAAATACCCCTCGGCACCACGTTTCCATCGGAAAACGCTGTGTCTGTTACACCGCCGTCGTTCCCAGCCTCACGCGGACTGCAACGGAACCGCAGCGTGAAAAATAAAAACCGGGAAAAGCCTTTTTAAAAAAGGGTTGGAGCCTCCCCTTTTGATATTTCCCGGAACAAAAGGCTTCCGTTTGTCGGCGCAAAATGACTTTCGCCTACTTATGTTTTTAAATAAAATGACGTGAGGTTCAGAATGTTTGGATTCACCCCAAATGGAATTTTCCCCCAGAATTTTATATTTTGCTTGCACAAATCCTAAATTTGGCCTTTCCCAAATTGGGGTGAAAATAATTTAACTTCTGGAAGTTTTTGGGGGGAGGGAAAAGCTGTTTTTGGATGATGGCTACACTGGCCTTTTGGCTGACTGGGGAAAGAGCAGGTGAGGACGCAGGGTTGTGCTAATCTAATCACTCGCTAGGTTCTCCTAAAAGTCAGCCACCTGGGGCTTTAACGTCAAACCTTTCCTCTCTGCCTGACACAAAGAGCAAAATGTTTTAACACTTTCCCTGGCTCTCTGGCAAGAGTTTAGCTTGGGATGGGGTTATGGGCAGTAACACTACTTGGAAGGTCAAGATACTCCTAGGGAGACACTTCACAAATGCTTAGACCAAGAATGCTTTCTATCAGGGGATCACCATGCTTTGCACAGGACCAACGAGTTCAACTTCTCAACTCCCAGTGAGCGAGGATCGGACCCCTTTTTCCAAGGGAAACTGAGGCACGGAGCGGCGAATTGACTTGCCCAAGTCTATACAGCAGGTCAGTTGCAGAGGCAGGAGCAGAATCCATCCCTCCTCCCCCAAAAGAGGAACAACTTGGTGCTGCCCTACCGGTGGAACGTTCCATACAAGATCACGCCCCTGCTCCTGGGCCGTCAGGTCTGCCCAGTTTAGTCTCTCAGGAACCGAACATGGGACTGGCACCTTTTTTGGGCTGGAAGCTGCTGACCCACAGCAAAATCAGTGGGGGGCCGCACACAAGTGAGAAGCAAAAAAAACCCCAACCCCTCACTGGAGTGGCCCCCAACTGAGAAGCAGAAAGACCCTGCCCCCATTTCTCTTGCACCCCAGAGCCATGGGGGGCCAGGCTAGTAGATGTTGGGTGCTTCGGCCCCACAGTGTAATGGCAGGGAGACTAGAGCAGGCTCCCCACTGCTGGGGGAGGAGCCCCAAGGGCTTGGCCTTAGGTTCCCCAC